CAAGAATATACATATGTGTGTATGTGCATACAGTTTTCCAAGTCTGTGTTGTTGTGTATATTTTGGTGAACTGAAGTTCTTAGTTTTAATGTAACCAAATTAAATTTTTAATAGATGACACTTTTGTGCTGTTTAGGAAATTTTTGCTTACACCAAGCTCTTCTATGTTTTCTTCCAAAATCATATATTTTTAATTTTCAAATTCAGGTCTACAGTGTATCAAGGATTACTTTTGTGAATGTGTAAGGTGGTGGTTAACATGTATCTGAATGTTATGGACATATGAATATCTATTTGACACATCACCATTTATTAAAAAATACTCTTCTAATTTTTATAATGCTATTTACTTTTTGTAATGAGTCAGATGATTGTTTGTATGAATCTGTTAGGTAATAGAGTCTTCCAGCACATGTCATGGCTGTGCTTTTAGTTCTTTTGTTTCAATAATGTTTTATGTTTTTAGTACAGAGGTCTCACATATCTTTCAATGAATTATTTATTATATAAATTATTATTTATTTTAAATTTATTTAAGGCAATTGACACCTTTCGTTTCTTTCCTACTCCCCAGCTTTATTGAGATACAAATGATATATAATATTGTATAAATTTTAGGTGTACAATATGATTTGATACACACACGNTCTGGTAGGTAATAGAGTCTTCCAGCACATGTCATGGCTGTGCTTTTAGTTCTTTTGTTTCAATAATGTTTTATGTTTTTAGTACAGAGGTCTCACATATCTTTCAATGAATTATTTATTATATAAATTATTATTTATTTTAAATTTATTTAAGGCAATTGACACTTTTCGTTTCTTTCCTACTCCCCAGCTTTATTGAGATACAAATGATATATAATATTGTATAAATTTTAGGTGTACAATATGATTTGATACACACACGCATATTATGAGATATTTGTCTCTATTTTCATTGAAGTTAAAAACTAACAAAACGAAAAGTGCACATATTTTCAGTATAGCTCAATGAGTTTTGCATATGCATATGCACCCACATAACCATCACCCACAGGAGGGAGAATATTTCTGGAGGCCAGGAAAGCTCCACTATGTCCCCTCCAGTCTCTCCAGGGATGATCACTATTCTATTTTCTATCATAACAGATTGGTTTGCCCTGGCCTTACAGTTTTAAACTTCCAATCTGGTGTATTCCCCAAAACCCTTCTCCTTGGCAGTTCACATACTCCAATCAATGTCTTCTAAAACTACTAAAAACTCCACTCTTCTTTTCAGAAACTTTCTGCTTAGGTTTTTAGTATCTTGACCTGTAAATTCCCTCATTCACTAAATATTCACTAACATGGAAATTAGCCACTTGCTTGAAGCCCCTCAAAGCAACTACCACCTCTTTTGGTTTCTGCCTCCCCACGAGTCTTTCACAGTAGAAAATCCAGGTTTTCATTCTTCTACTCATGCCCAGAATTCACAAATGATCCCAGGGTTACAAAGTGCAACTCGCCTCTTAAGTTATCTTATCTCTGGAGTTTTGGGGACCCCAGCCAACTTCAGATATTTATAAACTTCTTCTAGCTTTTATTAGACTGCTAGTTGGCCACAAGCAAACCCATTTCACTCAGAATCAGAAGTTCTAGCTTTATTTGGAAAAGCCAGTCATTGTGCAATTGGGAAATATTAAGAATAGTAAGATCTTAGACTTCAAGGTTTCATAATATAATAGGGGAAAGAAACACATAAAAGAGAAATACAATGCAAAAAAACAATTATATGCATGATTCATAAAATAATTATAATAATTATATTACTTAATAATAGAAATCTAAGTGTCATAAGAGCTTGTGGGAGGTTTCAGTTCTTTCCAGATATTGAGTGAGGTTCCATGGAAAAATCTGAACCAGACCTTTAAGACCAAAGGACCTCCTACAAGGCAAAGTGAAGAGCTGGTATTCTAGGCAGAAGGAGTAGTGTAAACCAAAAAACAGAGGTATCATAGCTTAATGATGTATTTGGGAAAAAGTAATTACCTCATGCTGCAGCATTGTGGTAGGAGTTTTGGAGTAGTCCAGTAATTTTTATATTTCAGAGTATATAGGAATTATGGGAGAGCTTTTACATTTTCTCTTTGGTCCCTGATGTTGAAGCAAATGATGTATAATGCCCCTTTGTGTTCTGACATTATGTTACTTTATGTGAAGGGGATCATAGAAAAAGCAAGAGAATTTCAGAAAAACATCTACTTCTGCTGCCTTGACTACTTTAAAGTCTTTGACTGTGGATCACAACAAACTGTGGAAAACTCTTCAAGAGATGGGAATACCAGACCACCTTACCTGCCTTCCTGAAAAATCTGTATGTTAGTCAAGGAGCAACAGTTAGAATTGGACATGGAACAATGGACTGGTTCAAAATGGGAAAGGAGTACATCAAGGCTGTATATTGTCACCCTGATTATTTAACTTCTGTGCAGAGTACATCAAGGGAAATGCTGGGCTGGATGAAGCACAAGCTGGAATCAAAATTGCCAGGAGAAATATCAATAACCTCAGATACACACCACCCTTATGGCAGAAAGCAAAAGGAACTAAAGGGCCTATTAATGAAAGTGAAAGAGGAGAGTGGAAAAGCTGGCTTAAAACTCACCATTCATAAAATGAAGATCATGGCATCTGGTCCCATCACTTCATGGGAAATAGGTGGGGAAACAATGGAAACAGTGAGAGACTTTATTTTCTTGGGCTCCAAAGTCACTGCAGATGGTGAGTATAGCCATGAAATTAAAAGACTCTTGCTCCTTGGAAGAAAAGCTATGACCAACCTAGACACCACATTAAAAAGGAGAGACATTACTTTGCTGACAAAGGCCCCTCTAGTCAAAGCTATGGTTTTTCCAGTACTCATGCATGGATGTGAGAGTTGGACGATAAAGAAAGCTGAGCACCATAGAACTGATGCTTTTGAACTGTGGTGTTGGAGAAGACTCTTGAGAATCCCTTGGACATCAAGGAGATCAAACCAGTCAATCCTAAAGGATATCAGTCCTGAATATTTATTGGATGAACTGATGCTGATGCTGAAGCTCTAATCATTTGGCCACCTGATGCGAAGAACTGACTCATTGGAAAATACCCTGATGCTGGGAAAGATTGAAGGCAGGAGAAGGGATGGCAGAGGTTGAGATGGTTGGATGGCATCACTGATCAATGGACATGAGTTTGAGCAAACTCTGGGAGTTAGTAATGGACAGGGAAGCCTGTCAGGCTGCAGTCCATGGGGTTGCAAAGAGTCAGACATGACTGAGTGACTGAACCGAAGTGATGTGAAGGGAAGCCAGGAATGAACAAATTACCTTTCTTCCACCACATATATGAATGAGATTTTCATATCTAAGACATTGTTACTTTGTGAATCTCTGCTTGGTGGCATTAAATTAAAAACTTGTTGCCTTATGGAGGAGATGGGTCCTTCATATTCACAGAGAGCTAAGACTCTGTCCTTGGCCACTCGTGTCCCAGGCATGGATGTCTCTCCCCCTTACTGAGCTAATGACTGGGGATTCAGCCTCCAGCAAAGCTCATTGTTTCAGTCACTCCTCTTAATGGAAGTCTAAGGAAGTCTGTCATCTCTGGAACCCAAAAGTCTGAGTGGAACGACTTGCCAGGGCCTTCCTGGTAGACATGGAAAGCCATGTCTGGGTGACTGAGAATCTGGCTGGAGTTTTGGTGGAGGGAATGGGTCTGCTAAGATATACCAGCCTTTCTACCCACCAGAGGAATTAATAACAGATGCAAGGGCCAGGGCTCAGATAATAATTCTTTGACTGTCAAATAATTCTTTGACTTAGAAGCATTCACTTCTGAATCTTAACTGTTTTTTAGAACATTATGACTTTCCTAGTTAATGCCTGTACCTACTAAGTTTTAAGTCATGACTATTTTGAAATATTAGCCATAGATGGTAATTTGAAGGGGAAATGGAGGAGATAATATTATTCCGTTTCAGGCCAGTTTGTTAAATGAAGAAGCAATTTATGATTGCTGTTGCCCAGCTGGAATTCAGTGAGCAAATCCCAAAGGAAGAGTAAAACTCCAAGCAGGAAAATCTGACTGTGTGTTTATCATCTCCCTCCCACACAAGGTCTCTCCTTCCAAGTCTCTCATCTCTTTTTATATTGGGAAGTTTTGTTACTTCTTTCTAATGTAGGCAGCCAATCTCAGACCAGAGTTAGGAATCCAGCTGTAAAATCTAGGCTTCTTTCACAAGCTACATAAAATTGGGCTAACTGACAAAATCAATTGTAAAACTGCACGAACTCTGTTCTTGTACTGGGGCAGTTTTTCCCTACATGAGAAAATAGACTAAAACTCAGGATAGACTCTCAGGAGAGCTCTGGAAAAGCAGCATGGCAGAGAGGAAAATATTTTTATGCTAGAATCTGCTAGATATTCAGTGAGTGGGTAAATAAGCAAGTGAATGAGTGAATGTGGGTTAAGGAATAAATGAATGGACAGTAAATAAATACATGAAAAATCCATTTACACGTGTTCGTAGAAGTGGTTGGTAATGCTCATGTCATTTATGTATGTTCTTTCTTCTTTTTCAGAATAACTTCCAATAGGCAAAAGACACATTCATCTAGTAGGNACACGTGTTCATAGAAGTGGTTGGTAATGCTCATGTCATTTATGTATGTTCTTTCTTCTTTTTCAGAATAACTTCCAATAGGCAAAAGACACATTCATCTAGTAGGCTGGGAGTTCCCAAACTTTTCCACTCTTTGTCCTTTCTTAGATTCAATTGGCTTGCAAGAGTTTCCCAGACTCCTGTCAACTAGTCCTGGAATTTCTCTCCCCGTCCTTTACCAGAGATGTGTCAGCATCTGACATCCCTCATCATTAGTTACTAGAGAGCAGCTATGCCCATGCCCCCTAAGGATGTATTGATAAGAACATGTGTACTCACATACTCACTTCCCCCAATATTGCCTCCACATCACAGACTGGGGCCAGGACACAGGCAATGATATGAAGCGCAGATTTATTAGAGGAAGAAATAGGAGGGAAGCTCAGGGATGGGGAATTGGGAAAGGGAGTGAGACAGAAGCTATGCATCAGCCTTTGGTGTCCCCATGAGCCCAGATATATTTCTTGCTTTAGGACATGGATGGGGCCATAGCTGTGGCCAAACTGGAAGCTGGAGAGGCTGGGAACTCACTCATGTTCATCTAGGAGAGAGTCAGAGTGGGGAATAGAAGAACACTGGGAGCAAGGGATGTGTGAGACAAGGGGTTCTGTAGGAAGAAATCCTGACAGTGCTTCGTTGGACCCTAAGTAGGGGGAGGTGGGAGAGGAGGGCAAATCCTGGAGCTGAGGATCAGAGGAGAAACAGAAGGAAGAGAAGGCTGCATCTGGTAGCCTGGATGGCAGGCAGGTATATCTCAGTCCATCCTTACTTCTATTTACTCTTGGGGGCTTGCTGGGTTGCGGGACACTTCTGCTGGGCTGGGATGGCTGTGCCCTTGGGTGGACATTGCTTCTTGGCCTGGGGAGCACATGGATCCTTGGTTTTAGGTGCACACGTCTCTTGACATTTGACAGGGGGCGGCTGGCACGGCTGCTTCACCTGCTGCTGTTGGATCGTCTGGGGCAGGCACTGCTGCTGCTGCTGCTGCTGGGAAGACATGGCTGCAGGAACAGGTGAGCCTGGAAGAAACCCAGGTAGAGACACTATGAGATCAGCTCCCTCCACCTCTTCTCCCTCTGACTCCTAAAGAGGATTTTCTCCTCTAGCAAAGGGTAAGTAATTAACAGCTTCAAGTTGACTAGTGAGTTGGTTCACACACACTCATTGCAATCTCTCTCTTTCTTTCTCCCTTTGTCTCTGAAACTCTGATTTCTAATCTTCCTCAATCTTCCCATGGATGCCTGACCCAATTGAATATATGATGTATTTCTTAGTCTTAACAGGAAATAAGATGGGGTGCTGAGCTGAGGATGAAAAGATGGTCCAGATATTTTATTAGATCAAGGTATGAGATCTTGGCCGATGGGTTGGCAATACCAACTGTCTACTTTCAGAAGTGATGATGAGTGTGAGTGAAGGTGGAAAGGCATGAAAAAGAGATCAGGAGCAGATTCTGCCTCAGAGGGAAGACAGAATGTCGTGGTGTATGAGTGACGGGGCTGGAGTACACCTGTTGTGGGAGCTCAGTTCTAATCCTGGCTCTACCCCTGACTTACCATGGGATGTAAACATAAGTCATTTAATGCAGTTGGGGAATAGTGGTTCTGGCTCTCCATGGAGAACCAGGAAATTGAAGATCAAATAGATCGCTGGAGGTAAGGGATTATAGGAGGATATTTTACCAAGAGACACCCTGGTCCAAAGAACCTGCCTGCCAATGCAGGAGTCATAAGAGACACGGGTACAATCCCTGGGTTGGGAAGGCCCCCTGGAGGAGAGCATAGCGACCTACTCCAGTATTCTGGCCTGGAGAATCCTATGGACAGAAGAGCCTGGCGGGCTATGGTCCATAGGGTCGCAAAGAGTCAGACATGACTAAAGTGACTTAGCATGCAAGCATTCATGCACCCTGGTCCAGAGGAAAGAACAGTGGTCAAGAAGGCACAGGCAGAGGTTCTAGATCCAACCTTGCCCCTCGCTGGCCAGGCTCATCTCTGGGAAATCTGCCATCTCTGGACCTCCATGCCTCTGTTTGGGGCTATTGATCCAGAAGGGCTCTTAGGCCTTCCCAACTCTGACACATGTCTCTAGTTCTCTTTGTAGGCACGGCCCTCATCTTTTAAGCTCATGACTATATATAGGAAGTATAGTTTCCAGATGGCAATCATTATAGAGAGGCGTGACGGCTACAGAGTATAAAATACAATATTTAGTAGATCAGCTTCTGTAAACCTAAAAGGAAAGTTTGAGAGAGCTTGTTGGTAGGACTGTGAAGGCAGAAGAAAGATTTGGAGGAGGCTACAAAATGCTGTAGCTCTAAATATCTCCCCTCAATGACAAAATTCCTCTTACTAGGGAATCAAACTGAGAACTAGGAAATTAGTTGGACCTAGGATTGGTGAGGGAGATTGAATTTCTTAAGTAGCAATTAGTGTGGCATTTTCTTAATTGTCACAAGGCTTATGTTACTTCTCTGGTTACCCAAGAACAGGAGAGGAGCTTGGCCTAGCGGCTCAAGACAGTTCAAGGAGTAGAAAAGGGCCCAGCAGATCCCAGGAGGACAAATCCCTCACCACTTACCAGAGGTGTGAGCCAGACCCTAGGAGATTCGGCTGAGCACAGGTTCACACCAACTACTCCTGGGAACCTTTTAAAGGTCCCCAGGCTGCCCCAGGCACCTGGTGTGGCCTTCATTACCATCTTCTAAGGAATTCCTAACCCACTTCTCCCACCTGCACTTCCTCCAGAGACTTGCTTTACTGGCCTGTTTTAATGAAAACCACCCACTAGATACTCCAGCATTCTGTGACTTGGCTACCTGAGCTGACTTCATCCACTAAGGTGTCGCCTCAAATTCAAGGACACGAAGTCTTTTAAAAATAGGACTTATGTGAAGCTCAGCTTGTAGACCTAGAGTTATAAGAAACAGGAAGGAAGGAAGAGGCAAAGCGGGAAGGAATATGGGCTGGGGGCACTTCCAACAAAAATAGGAATGTAGGACTTTCCTGGCAGTCCAGTGGTTAGGACTCTGGGTTTCCACTGTAAGGGGGGTGGGTTTGATTCCTGGTGGGGGAAGTTCTTCATGCCATGAGGTACAGCTGAAAAAAAGGAGCATAACCTTGTCTGCTATTGCTGCCATTTTTTGAGCATTCACTGGTGCCCAGCCCTGAGATAATCTTTCATGCCCATTGTTTTATTTTACCTTTATAATCCCTGTAAGATGATGCCATTGTTACTATTTTGTGTGTGAGAAAAGTAAGACTGGCAAAGATCACATAGGAAGTAAAGTGCAGAGATTGAATTTGAACTCTGATCTAGTGGATTCAAAGAATCCAGACCCTTAAGCATTATAAAGGGACACCTGACACAGTGCTCTAAGATTTGCCCAGTCCAGAAGGGGCTGCTTACATGATACTCTACGAAGCTTCCTTTTGATCACACAAAGAACATGGTGGTGCTGTCCCCCACCTACCAACCAGGAGTCAGGCTGCTTTGGGTATTAGTGATGGTGAAAGAGAGTGGGAAAAAATGGGCTTCTGGGTAGAGTTTCTAGGTAAAATATAGGGCCATTAGCTAAATTTGAATTCAGATAAGCAGAGTTTTACAATATTCCATTCAGTTCAGTTCAGTCACTCAGTCGTGTCCGACTCTTTGCAACCCCATGAGTCGCAGCACGCCAGGCCTCCCTGTCCGTCACCAACTCCCGGAGTTTACTCAAACTCATGTCCATCGAGTCGGTGATGCCATCCAAACATCTCATCCTCTGTCATCCCCTTCTCCTCCTGCCCCCAATCCCTCCCAGCACCAGGGTCTTTTCTAATGAGTCAACTCTTCGCATGAGGTAGCCAAAGTATTGAAGTTTCAGCTTCAGCATCAGTCCTGCCAATGAATACCCAGGACTGATCTCCTTTAGGATGGACTGCTTGGATCTCCTTGCAGTCCAAGGGACTGGCAAGTCTCCTCCAACAACACAGTTCAAAAGCATCAATTCTTTGGTGCTCAGCTTTCTTCACAGTCCAACTCTCACATCCATACATGACCACTGGAAAACCCATAGCCTTGACTAGATGGACATTTGTTGGCAAAGTAATGTCTATAAGTATGTCCCAAATATTGCAGAAAACATACTACAATATTTGTTGTTTATATGAAATTTAAGTGTAACTGGGCAGACTGTATTTTTATTTGCTCAATCTGGCGACTTTACTCAAAACTAATTCAGATGGGAGAAAGGTGCCCTGGTCCCACCCCCCCATCCCACTTCTTGGCCTCCTGGGAAAAGAAAACCTTCTTAGGAAGGGGTGGGTTCAGTTTTGGACCACTGCCCCAAACCTCAGGATCCTGTTGAGGGCCATTGATGAAGTAATTTCTGTCAGTATTAGAGCAAAGCGTACCCCTTACCCTATTTAAGCATTGTGGCAATTCTGTTAGTTGTGCAAATCTGATTTTATNAGCCACCATCTGCAGTGATTTTGGAGCCCCCCAAAATAAAGTCTCTCACTGTTTCCATTGTTTCTACATCTACTTACCATGAAGGGATGGGGCCAGATGGCATGACCTTAATTTTTTGAATGTTGAGTTTTAATACAGCTTTTCCACTCTCTTTCTCTTTCACCAAGAGGCTCTTTAGTTCCTCTTAGCTATTTGCCATAAGGGCGGTGTCCTCTGCATATCTGAGATTATTGATATTTCTCCCATCAATCTTGATTCCAATTGTGCTTCATCCAGCCTAGCATTTTGCATGATGCACTCTGCATAGAAGTTAAATAAGCACGGTGACAATATACAGCCTTCATGTACTCCTTTCCCAATTTGGAACCAGTCTGTTGTTCCATGCCCAGTTCTGACTGTTGTTCTTGACCTGCATACAGATTTCTCAGGAGGCAGGTAAGGTGTTTTGGTATTCCCATTGCTTTAAGAATCTTCTACAGTTTGTTGTGATCCACACAGTCAAAGGCTTTGGCATAATCAGTAAAGCAGAAGGAGATGTTTTCTGGAATTCTCTTGCTTTTTTTGATGACTCAATGGATGTTGGCAATTTGATCTCTGGTTCCTCTGCCTTATATCTGGAAACACACAGTTCACATACTGTTGAAGCCTGGCATGGATAATTTTGAGTATTAATTTGCTAGTGCCTGAGATGAGTGCAATTGTGCGGTAGTTTGAACATTCTTTGGAATTGGAATGAAAATTCCAATTGCCTTTCTTTGAGATTGGAATGAAAATTGACCTTTTCCAGTCCTGTGGCCACTGCTGAGTTTTCCAAATTTCCTGGCATATTGAGTGCAGCACTTTCACAGCATCATCTTTTAGGATTTGAAATAGCGCAACTGGAATTCCATCACCTCCACTAGCTTTGTTCATAGTGATGGTTCCTAAGGCCCACTTAACTTCACATTCCATGCTATCTGGCTCTAGGTGAGTTATCACACCACTGTAGTTATCTGGGTCATGAAGATCTTTTTTGTATAGTTCTTTTGTGTATTCTTGCCACCTCTTTTTAATATCTCTGTTTCTGTTAGATCCATACCATTTCTGTCCTTTATTGTATCCCTCTTTGCATGAAATTTTCACTTGGTATCTTTAATTTTCTTGAAGAGATGGTATATCTTTCCTTTTCTCCTTTGCCTTTTGCTTGTCTTCTTTTCTCAGCTATTTGTAAGGCCTCCTCAGACAAACATTTTGCCTTTTTGCATTTCTTTTTCTTGGTGATAGTCTTGATCATTGCCTCCTGTACAATGTCAGAACCTCCATCCCTAGTTCTTCAGACACTCTGTATTTCAGATCTAATCTCTTGAATTTATTTGTCACTTTCACTGTATTATCATAAGGGATTTGATTTAGGTCATGTCTGAGTGGTCTAGTGGTTTTCTCTACTTTCTTCAATTTAAGTCTGAATTTGGCAATAAGGAATTCATGGTCTGAGCCACAGCCAGCTCCTGGTCTTGTTTTTGCTGATTGTATAGAGTTCTCCATCTTCAGCTACAAAGAATATAATCAATCTGATTTTGGTATTGACCATCTGGTGATGTCCATGTGTAGAGTCTTGTCTTGTGTTGTTGGAAGAAGGTGTTTGTTATGACCAGTGTGTTCTCTTGGGAAAACTCTGTTAGCATTGCGCTGCTTCATTTTGTACTCCAAGGTCAAATTTGCCTTGTTCAAGTAGCTCAAGAACTTCTTGTTCTATTAGTTCATCATGATGCAAATTCTCCAAAAGGGAAGCATGCAGCAGGATGAATTGGTGTAGATACATATCAAGGTGTTCTTCCACATCTGGCACCTAGAAGGCATCAATCTATGTGTGATGCTCAGGAAGGGGTGGGTTTTCCACCCTTCATATCCATGTCACGCTCACAGCCTCTCTGGGATAAATTTTACTTCCTATTTTCCTCAGTCTGCTCTTTGACTTCTTACTTTGTCTATCAACAACTATTGCTCACTTTGGAGAACTCTATCTAATGATGGACTCTGGTTTATGACACAATTTTCATCTCAGAGGATGATACCCTGAGGATGGCCTTTATAGAGATCATGGCTGGACTTGAGGTGGCTGTGTCCTCCAGGTCATAAATCTCCAAGAGTCATTCAAGCTCATACACATCTCACATGTTAAACTTTTCAAAACTATGGCATTCAACTTCCATCTTGGCCACATTATCCCTATTTCACAGAAGGAGAAATTTGAGACTTGTAATGAGGACATGCTTGACCCAAGGTCACACAGAGTTAGTGTCAAAGCCAGGGTTGGATCACAGGTCTCCTGACTTCACAGTAATTTACAGTCAGCTGAAGTGCCTATGTCCCTGGGCTGATATCTAGCGTATGTTATGTTAATGGCAGAATTAGGAAGCTGATTCTCGTGGTCTCCATCGTTTGCACCAGATCCCTATCCTCTTTCCTCCCTGGTTGACAGGTGCTCTCTTTCCCATCAAGCCTGTCCACCCTTCTTCCTCTAAAACAGGGGTCCCCAACTATTGGGATCTAATGCCTATTGATCTGAGATGGAGCTGATGTAACAACAATAGAACAAACAAAGTACACAAAAAATATGCTTGAATCATCCCCAAACCACCTCCCCTGCCCCAGTCTGTGTGAAAATTTCTTCCACAAAACTGGTCCCTGGTACCAAAATGGCTGGGAACTACTGCTCTAAGAAGCCCTAACTGATCCCCCTCCCCTGCACTGCCAGACACAGGTGCATATTTTTGGTCATTAAACCTTATAAAGCACCTCTATATACAGTTTTCACAAGACTCTATGAAGAAAGCTAATTGTATTTCTAATTTTATAGATGAAAAAATTATGGCTCTGATGGTGGCTAGATCTGGAACCCAGAAAGGAGGGCCCACCTAAGTCTCTTAGATCAGTTATGACCCATTTTCAAGCACCCCAAGTGGCTGGGAGAATGAATTGTTCTTTCAGAAGAGGAGTGGGCACTTCCTGGCACCCCCTCAAATCACCTCATGTAAACACCTCCTCCAGATGAGGTGGGTCCTGAGAAGCTAGTGGAATGATGGCTCTGTAGCGCCCGCTCCCACCCACACTGCTCCAGCAAGGCCATGAGACTGTTGCCTGGTCAATCGATCATGAGTCCTACATCTTCTCTGTCATCCTCAAAGCACCATGTTGCACTGAAATCTGGAACTCAGGCTTT